AATTACACAATCCTACCACAATCCAATTTCACAAAGTCTTGCTAACCAACTCAAAATTTGCCTAAGTTATCAACATTTTCACCAATAATTTTTGTGAGCTCAATCATCATAAAACATCATTCTAAGACACTTTTATCTAATACACATTTTCAATTTAAAGTCTCTAACCATATCAATCCATGCATGCAAGCCCTAGGTCTTCAAAATCAAATCTAATGAATCAACCAATGAAATATGTTGAAACTTACCCACAATCAAGGTCTAGGACTCCTCCACACAATACCCAAGCATTGGAGGATCAAACCCCTCCAAGAACACCAACTTCCACACAATGGCCGCGGACTTGGGTCCCCCTTTTCTCCCAAATTAGTGAGTTTCAAGCCTTGAAAATACTATGGTTGTGTTTAGGAGGTTGTTTACTTAAAGTTAATGTAGTGAAAGTTGTGTTTTGGTGGAGGAATGATGGAGTTTGGTGGGAAGGAAAATTTGAACACAAACTTGCACATGGAGGAGGGGAAGCCGCGGGTAGCAAAGAGAGAATGGGAGGAAGAGGGTGATGCAATAGTGATTTGGCCATGTGGCATAAGTCACTTAAGTGGGGTGAGTCCCACGCCACATCACGCGATTCAAACTAATTCAAATCTCCCGTTCACTTCACTAAACGTCCATTAATTCCTAGACTATTTAGAAACTCCAATTTTTAACATTAACCATTGTCTTTTAATTGTCCTTGGTTAGATGAATCCGAAGTTTTTCGATCGTTCGGTGAAATCACAGTTTTAAGCTGTTATGTGCACTGTGGGCACGCTTCCCCAAAACCCTAATTTCAATCAATTTTCATCAGAAATCATAATTCCTAGTTCTATGTACCATTTATAACTTATTTCTAAACCTAGAGTTCAAAATTCATTCGGCACGCTTTATGGTACAATTGTACCGCAATATTTTTATCCCATAAAAACACTATTCATCATTTTTCCAGAAATTTGCCTAATCACTCAATTTTTCGTTCTAAATCCATTTCCAGGGTTAGTTTTCCCATTTGAGACCTTCTACTCAATTTTCCTTTCCTAGGGTTACATGTTTGACAAATTACTATTTGACCCTTTTTACATATTTTGGTTCTAAATTCAGGATTTTCTCTAATCCTACCCTTTAATCCATATTTTAACATTAATTAAATGATTTAGAAATACGAGGTGTTATACTCAGCACGTTCACTTCTTGCTATGTTGTAGTCCAATGCTGTAAGTTGAGAAAATAATGTATTCAGATTGTTTATGTGGTTTGTTATTTTTGTTGACTCACTCATTTGAAGAATGTAGAGTCTCTTCTTTAAGAATATCTTATTGTGAAGAGATTTAACCTCGTTCAATTTGGTGAGCACATCTCAAATTTTCTTTGTCATCTTCTTTTTAGCAAAACTTGATAAAACTGAACTTGCCACTGCTATAAGTAGATTGGCAACAATGTGGTTATCAATTTCTTTCTACTTTTCTTTTATTACTTTTATGGTCCTATCTTCAATTGTAGCTAAACAACTGTCCTTTCTTAGGATTGCCTTCATCTTCAGTTTCTATAGGGAGAAATTACTCTTGTGGAACTTCTTAATCTCAAATTTTGTTGCCATATTGTTGACAGTATTCTATTTATTAATTGTATCTACTTACACTATTTCACGTGAATAATATCGCGTAGATGAATAACATTGTACGTACAAAATAGTACTCTATATTCAATTGTATCTTGTGCAATTTTTCTTCAAATGAACAAGTGCCTTTTGAAGGCTTCATCCTCAAAGTGGCTTTAAATCGTCACTGCATATGTTAAAACACGTGGATCAACAGATAAGGAATTGTTCTAGCTTAATGAGTGATATTGAGGTCAAGCCTTACGCAGCTGTGTTAAAAACTTGGTATGATACGAACCGATGGAGAAATCTTTGAAAAAATCACTTTAAGTATATAAACTGTACCATAAAATTAATAATGAAATTTTAAATGAGGTTAAAGTAATATATAAATGAACTCTTTCTTTAGATGTCATTCATTTTTTCTTCAGATCAAATAGTCGTTTTACTATTGAAATAACTCAAATGTGATGCAACTACGTATATATTAGGTAATTAGGATATATGTAAGATACAATTAAATGAATGTATGTGGAGTCCATTTGTCATCTCTCTTTATTCCTTCCTAGTATCCCCTTCCCCCGATAAGATTTTTTCTTTCGGGTACACGAGATATTTTTGTTACTTCCTTGTTCTTGCTATTACAACTTGTAAGTGGAGCGGAATAGTGGATCTGATGCTGTCCCAACATTGGCATCTTCATGACGTTGCTTTGATGACATGAGCATCATGAACCCTGCTTCACAACATCGCTAAGCATACCTTTCAATATATTCAGAAATTTACCTTATCCGTTAGTCTATATTATCCTTGGTCATGGTCATTAATTCAACAACTGTTTCTCCACAGCGGGCAGCTTCTAACGACAAACCACAGATATATTCCCAAATCAATGCTTTGAATAAGATAACACATACATCTAGAAATTAAAATTAAGCAATATTCTGATTGATATTATGAAAATTTGTGAATCTAGAAGTTATACGGGCATACGATCCGAAAATGACTTTAATAATATGTATATAAATAATTATTTGTAATATATATATATATGGGTCAGGATCATTTTACATCAATTTAAGTTACACTCTCAATCTTGTTCATTGATCCTACTTATATCTAAGGGCTCAAATTTTTTAGTAATGTGAGTCATTGGATACAAATGGATCAACGATCAGTATTGAGTGTAAGACTTCTAACTCTTACACCGGTGTAAGAATATCATGTCCCTATATATATATTGTCAAATTTGAAAATATATATATATATATATATATATATTTGTAATACACGTTAGCCGACAATGACAATGTCTTAGGAGAAAGAAAAAAAGAACAGCGTTATTGTTATAACTATGTATGACTGGTCAACTATGTTTCAGATGAGGAGTCAAATTTCAAATTTGACCCCTATATATATATATGAGTTTTATAATTCTCATTTTTACTTGTTTTAGAATTGAAATCTTCATAAACATCCTTCAATTTTTATGCTGACATGGATCTTATACATAATTTTTTCTAACATATAGGTCCTACGTGTTTTTTATCTCTACAACATAAGATTTCAATTCTCATGTAACATGAGAATTATAAAACTCATATATATAAAAGGATATGTTATTTTTATAAAAATTTTATTTACAAACTACACTATATATTTCGGATACACTCAATTATACTCTCCAAAATACATAATATAGTTTGTAAAAAAAAAAAAATTTAAAACTCTCCCCATGAAAAAATATCTATATTCTATCGCAACATAACCAGTTACTGTCGAAATGAAATATCAGAAGTTAGCCCAACTCAGCCGACATAGAAGGCTCAACACAAGGAACACATGCCCAGCCCAATTATTAAACATATGTTCCGAATCCAAAACAAGCAACTAGAAATATGTTTAGATGGAGTTTTCAAAAAAAAAAAAATTTGTTTAGATGGACGATTTTAGTAGAAAAAAAAAAGATTTTATTTTTAAATTTAGATATTTATAAAATATTTATAAAAAAATTGATGAAATTTACATAATTTATTTTAAATTATTAAATACTTTTTTTAAAAAAATTATTCTCTATTTTCGTTCTCATCCACACCAAATATACCTTTGTCGTTCATGATGATATTATTAAAGCCAAGGAAAAACCAACAATGGTCTCCACCGGCCACCGCCTCATGATTTAATTTTGGGCTCGAATCAAAGACTGTGCCTCCTTGGAGAAATTTTGAATCATTAGATGCTTCCTCTCACCATGGCATTTTTTTTTCTTTCTAATGTTGTCTAATTTTTCTTTCTTTCTTTTCTTTCCCCAATTTACCATATAGGACCATCAAAACAATGGTGGTGCAGGCAGGACCACCAAGTACCTTCTCGTCTCCTTGATCCTTCAATAGCTATTATTTATTTCAAAATAAATTAATTTTATACTTTATTTACTGCAATTACACTTTACACTTTTTCTAAACTAAAAAAAATGAAATTTTTTTTTTATCTTTTTTCTAAATAAGAGGTATAGATAAAGGTATTAAAAATAAATTATACGAGTAATATTATTGTTTTAACAAAAGTTAAAATAACTTTCATTTTGTTATAAAAAATATATATATTTATCCTTTTAAATGAGTAAAATAGGTGAGACTCACAACTTTATTTTTTTTGTCAACTTTGTATCTCTCTCTTTATCTATTTTTTTTCTCTCTTAAAATAATTAATTTATATTTTTTTAAATGACACATATTTTTTTTGATAAATAAATGGGGCTTGAATTGTACAAATCTCAGCATCTTATCCCTTCGTCTCGATTTTTTAAACATAGAAGGTCCCACTCCATTCATACCCTTACGTGCCCCATACCAAGACCCATCCATACTCATAGATTCACAAATCACAACAGGGAATAATGGATTTTGATATCTGATGTGACAAAATAATTAAGTGGTTATGTTATTTAATCATATCATTAATTAATGATAAGATAAGAGAAAAAAAAGGTATATAACTTTTAAATGAATAATTATGATCAAATATTATGATTACTTTTTCACATAATCTAAATCTAAAAATAATACACATTGAGTTATCCTTTCACTTTAAGGTAGACTCACGAACCATTTAAAAAAATATATATAATATATAGTATAACAATGTTATATTAATAAAGGGCAATGCTTTTATAATATTATCTCATGTAGAAACATAATTGAACGAGTCTCACGATTAAAAGAAAAGAAAAAAAAAATACTGGCTCGGATTGCGATATACCTGTGACATGAGAAAAAAAATTTCATGTAACTTCAGAAAAATATATCTCTTTAATAAATTACATGAAAGTCTAAGCAATGATCAAAATAAAATTTATGTAAAGCTTCACAGTAATAATACACCCTTTTTGGTTCTCTTTCCATTTTTCTTCCGCAACCCCTCAAGCTACTTAATTTTCTTCTGTATGAATTCAATTTCACAAGAAAGAATCATGAGACACCAACCCGAAGATGAAGACCCTCAGTTAAGGGTTTTATACGAGCTATGTTCCATCATCATTCACACTCTCAAGTTCCCTCCGTTACCCTTCCCTTTCACCACCCCATATCCATATTCTTCTTCTGATGCTACTGCTTCTTCTTCTTCTGATGCTACTGCTTCTTCTTCTTCTATGCCACCCTCTAAGAGACAGCCCTGGTGGACAACGTTAACACCCTCACAGGATTCCCCAGCAACATTTGCATCTCTGTTTTTGGGTATATGCCTGGCCTTGATGCTTTTCGGTTCGGTCACATTCTTTGTTGGGTTCCTTTTGTTACCTTGGGTTATTCTTTTGGTCCTAGTGTTCTATGTTGCTGCACTTGTCTCCTACTTATCTTTATTGGGTCGTTTCATTCTTGGTTCCATCATGTTCCACAACAATGTTCCACGTGAGTACCTCTCTTCTTGGTTCCTTGGTTTTCATGTTTTTTTCATTTGTTTTTTTTTTTTGTTCTTTTTCAATTTGAATATTTTATTTGATTTTGGTTTATTCTGTATGTTGTTATTATTATTATTTACTTTAGGTGCCTTGGATTTATCGTCGTACAGATGAGGCCAATATACTGCTAAAGCTCTAGAAGGGAAAAGATAATAAGGTAGCAGATCATGCATATTTGTGTCATAATAAAATAGATAATAAGCGAATTTGGTTACTGAAAAATTTATTGACTTCATTTGCATATAGAAGGAACGATTTCATATGTTTACTCATGTCAATTTTAATTTTCTTCATCTGTTTCCGCATGAACTAGTCTGTTTTATATTGCTATATATATTGTTCGATTAAAATTAATGTTTTATTCGCAGTCTGTGTCTATTTGAAATCTGTTTAACAACAACCCCTGAAGTTCATTTGTAATTGATTAACAAGTTCATCGAAGAATCAATAACACTGTTATATACTACTCCTCATAGAAAATTGAGAAATGTACGTCACTGTAAATTTTTTTTGCATACATAGTTATAATCGAAAAACTGTTTTTTTCTTTCCCTCTTCAGCAGACAAATTTGTAAGATAGAAAAAAAAAAAAAAAAACAGTTCTAAGATTATAACTATGTATTCTCAATTGCTGCATAGTTATAATAAGTTGCAACATAAGAAAAAAGGGACCCTAGAAAACAATATATAAATATTGGCATCAAATCAATGTTAAATTGCTTTAAACAAGAAGAACAAATGCAAAATAATAACTGGTATACTGGTTGCAACTCACTAAGAAGCAGGATATTGGTTACAGCAACCTTCTATACATAGCTCTATATATGCCAAATTCAAATTAATACAATAACCATATGACAAACTGAAAATATAACTAAAGTAAAGAAAAAAAAGTGTTATATGTAGTGGATGACTTATCCACTACCTATGTGAACGTCAATGGCAATGATGAAGATAACCATAAAGCCAAAGAAAAGAAGGGAGTGAACAAAAATGGAGATGCCACTTGTTTGGAAATTTACAACTTCCACTGCCCTGCCTTTGCCTGGGAGCTGGAACAGTAATCCAGGGGAAAACAACACAAACAGCACGAAGCCTATAATCACTGGGGCCCAATCTCCCATTTATCTCTATAGTTTCTTCGCTAGGAGATGCAAATGCTAAAGAAAAATGTGAACAAATGGAAGAGATGTAAATGAATTTATATACAAATGCTTGAAGGGCATTTGGTAGCAAACTTAACACACATATGGATGTGAGATAAATAAAGACAACATGAAGTTCAAGGAAGGGAAGGGACTAGGGAGATAGATTTGAAGATGGGACAAATGGAATGTTCTGGTTTGCATCAAAATCGGCAGATGCATTGGATTCAACGATTCCTTGAAAGTTTCATCTACATGGCATGACACTCTTGTGGTCCCTCTTAATTATCCTTGGACGGCTACCAATTCAATCAGGGAAGTGATTACTAGCTGAGTTATGAAATATCTATTAATTATTGATTTTATTATGAATTTTTTCAAACTTAATAAATATAAGCTTAGTTTGTATATGTCTTTTTAAGAAAAAAAATTCAATTTAAAAATATGTTAACAAATTTTAAAATAAGTTGATATATTTTTTTTTAAAAAAAAATTTATAACAAAAACGCAGAAAAAGTATTTTTAATACATATTTGGGAAAACTTATATTTTGAAAAATATTCTTTAAAAAGAAATAGTCTTTATGAATATTAAAAGGTTAATGTTGATAAGATGTTAATTAATCTTGATTTGATTGAGATTTTGTTATGAAGAAATTTGTATGTGAAGGGTGGCAAATTTGATTTCAGTCAGTATCCAAAGAATGATTTTGAGTGAAAATAAATGAAGAATGTTCCTTAACTTTAGTTATTGTAAGCCTAATATATGCTTAGGCCTACACAAGACTTAACATTGCATTTGTTGTTGGGATGTTAGGGAGATATTAGAGTAATCCAGGTTTAAACCACCAGAGAGCTACAAAGAAAGTGATGAGATACCTTCAAGCAACTTAAGATTACATGCTTATACGTAGACAAACGGATAATTTGGAAGGAATTGGCTACTCTGATTTAGACTATACTAACTACACTGATTCGAGAAAATCAACTTCAAGATGCCTTTATGCTAGCCGATGGAGCTTTATCTTGGAGGAGTGTCAAGCAAACTCTAATTGTTACTTCCACTATGGAGGATGAGTTTGTAACTTATTTTGAGGCTGGTGTATGGATAACGTGTTTTATTACTGGGAATTATGGATTCGATTTCTAGTCCATGCCATAAAGGATACAATGTTACAATTCACCTATTGTTTTTATGGCGAAGAACAACAAGTGGTAGTCGAAGCAAACATATCGACATCAAATAGGTAGCCATAAAAGAGTGTGTTAAGAATAAAGCAATGGTTATTGAACACATTAGCACTAAATTTGTACTTGTTGATGCTTTAACTAAAGGCATGCCACCATTGAAATTTAAGGTTCGTGTAGATAGAAAGAGATTTGGTCCCATTATGTGATTTTCTTTGTAAGATGTTATAAACTCTACTTGTGATGCTTTTCATTTCAATTTTGCGTGCATGTTCATTTTGAGAAATTGATTTATTCATTAAGTAATATGGGCTTGAAGGACATCGTGATTCATGGAAGATGTTACTCACTCATAGAGGACCTTTATCGCTATTATGTATCTTATTTCTTAGTATATGTGGAACTAGTTAGACAATCTTAAATTTCAACCCTTGTTTCCAAAAACCTATGGGGACCTTTGTTTGGGAGAAGCCATGTTTTTGGACATGTGTGGGACAATGGGAGACTATATTTTGTGAACTAGTGGATGAATAAAAAGTGCGATCGCAGAAGCCATCAACCCACATGCTCAAATATCCAGATACCATCAAATACCCATGTTTTTGCACACTGTTTTTATGAATTTGTGGTAGGGAAGAGTCTATATAAGCAGTTTAAGCACTATGCACTGTGTCCATCAGTACGCTATAACCATCAAAGCTACATTAGAGAAAGTTTAGATTGATTTAGAATTAATTTACAGCCACGTGCAAGTCTGTTATTGATTAGTCTATTCTATGGTTAGAGAGTTTGCTCTATGGTGAAAGTTGTGAGCCTTCACTTACTACAACACTTAGCTTAGATGACAAAAGCAATCACCACAATAACGGTAGGTTGCAGAGTGTTCATAGCAGGTTTAACACAAATTGGAGAAGCTTTTCGCATTCACAAACTCGAGCTAAGATCAAACAACTCAAAGCACAGCTGAAAGGTTTGAAGAAGGAACAATTGGTTACTAGTTAACTACTCTAGATCAGAAAGATAGTGGATGCATTAGGTTCTGTCGGAGCACCTATTAGTATTGAAGATCACATAAGAGAAGCCTTCAATGGCTTGAATGAAGATCATGATTCTTTTATTCATAGTGTCTAAAAAATTGAGGCATTGCTAATAGCTCAAGAAGAAAGATTAGAAAAACACAAGAAGCATCACAATAGTGATCGGTATACTTTACAAGCTAAAACAAGCTTCTCTCAGCTTTAATAGAAGGATAGAAAGTATAATACTAATTTCAGAGAGGGTTCATGTTGGTAGACGATGTCGAGGCAATGGTAATTATGGTAGAAATGGAAACAGACTATATTCACAACCTCAATGTCAAGTTTGTGTCAAGATTGGACCCCCAAACCAAAGTTCTTCAGCACAACTCCAAGGTCTTCCTATGCAAGCAATGCTAGCCACACTAGAAACTTTAATGGATCCAGATTGGTATTTTTGGTACAGAGGTAACTAATAACCTCACTCTAGAGGTTGGAAACTTGTTGGCAAAGTCACCTTATGAAGGATCTAATCGGGTTTAAATGGGAAATAATTCAGGTTTGACAATTAATTGCACTGGTCATTCTGTTTTTCTTTCAAATTCTAGTTCATAGTCTTTCAGTCTTTAACTGTTCTTTATGTTCCCCATATTATAAAAAATATGATTAGTGTGTCAAAATTTGCAAAGGATAATCCTGTGTTTTTTTTTAGTTTCACCTAACTATTGTTTTGTTAAATCACAGGCTACCAGGGAGGTAATCCGTTAAGGGAGGCTTAAAGATGTGTAATACAACCTAGCATAGTAAATCCTTTTAATGATTGAGTTCATACCTTTATGGTTTCCAGTAATAATTTTATACTATGTAGGTTAGGTCAACGCTCTTTACTTCAATCATGTAACATTCTTGTTGATATTAATAAAGCATCTATTATGTGTGTGTATTGGTTCACTCAAATCTTTGGGTTCCCTCACCAATTTCACTCCTCAATGTTCATATAGATTTATCTACGCTAGTACAAATCTTGAACCTTTTTGCTTTTCCTAAATTCAAAATATGATCGACCTATCAATGTCATCTTGGATTCTGGCTCTCCTATAGTGATTACCTCAATCTCACCGGCTGCTCAATCTATACTTGTTCCTCAATTCAGAATACACACCCTATGGTTACTAGAGCTAAATTAGGCATTCATAAGCCAAAGCTCTTTACTGCAACGACTAAGTTTGAACCCGCTTCAAAATCTGTTACCTTGTCTCATCCTCAATCGAAAGCTGCAATGTATGATGAGTAATGTCTCAGGCCTTAATAAAGAACCACGCTTGGTCTCTAGTTGATTTACCCCTAACAGTATTTCCATAGTTACAAGTGGGTATTTAAAATAAAGTATAACCCCAATGGCACAATTTGACAAGTACAAGGCCTGGCTTGTTACTAAAGGTTTTTATAAAAGAGAAGGGTTTGATTTCTCTTAAAATTTTAGCCTAGTAGTGAAGCCCTCTATTGTCAGAATTGTTCTCAATGTTGCCCTCTCAAATAGCTTGCCTATACACCAACTTAGACTTCAATAATGCCTTCTTCAATGGTGACCTTTCCGAGGAAATACACATACAACATAACAACAACCTCCAGGTTATTAGCAGGGTGCTAATTCCATAGTTTGCAGGCTTCAAGAAACTTTGTATTGGCTTAAACAGGTCCAAGTGCCTAGTTTTACAAGTTAATCCACACTCTTTGCTAGTTGGGGTTTCAACCTGCTAAATGTGATTCCTCTCTGTTCTTAAAGGATCAAATCTTTAACCTGGGGTCTTGAGTTGGAGCCTCGGGAATGGAGGAAAGGAACTTGGGAGAACCGCCTCCTATATTGGGTCCAACAATGCTCGACTTGGACTAATCGAGTAATCCATGAACCGGTGGATATAATCCGAAAGGACCGAGTTGCAATTTACGAAGCTAATATTGTGTACACAGATTGCATTCTGGTCCCAAGTAGAAATCCAGACCATGATTACTTCAACTACTCACCAAGTTTGCATGCTCATAGCAAACACTTTGTAGCAAGCAAGCATGTAGATCTCAGAGACATACCCTCTAGAGAACAAGTAGCTAATGTACTTTACAAAACCAATCTCCAGTTCTCTATTCCCTACACTCAGATCCAAACTTAGGAGTGGATGATTATCTCACCCTGAGTTTGCTCGGGGTTGTTAGAAAATGAGTTAGTTTTTATGGTTAGTCAGCAATGCCACATGTAAGTTTGTTCTTGATTCAGTCTCTTACTTAGCCATGATTTAATTGTGACACTTCCTATATATACTCCTCTATAACAATCATTCAATGCGAGTTCATTTGCTTCTCATCATTTCTCTTCTATCTCTGTGTCCTTGCTTTGTTGATACCTTTCAAGTATTCTGCATAATTGCATATGAATCTTCCCATGATTATAATTCTGATTTGTTTCATATGGGACCTGGACTAACTAATTAGTAGGGTTGGGCTTCGCTTAAAGGAGCAATTAAAGTATTGTTTTTTATCTCCTCTATATTTCAAATCCATAACTTTTTTAGCAATCTGTCATATGCGAACCCAAGCTTTATATAAATAATTAAGTATATTATTCAGGGTTCATGTCATATCACCAAGATTGAATGAAATATTCCTTTCATTTCTGCTTCTTTTGTAAATCATGCATTCCATTCTTTTCATATGGTTTGGCTTTGAACATATAAATTAAGGAACCTACCAGAGTGTCTTATGCAATAACCCAATCTTTTTCACACGCATTTCTTTCCACTTTTCAGAAATTAGTAGTTTAATAAATAAGTTAGACCCACTTTGATCAATCAATCAATAAAGCAATCCCAAAAAAGAGACCTCTATGTGTAACAATTATCAGAAGCTTATGAGAAGAAAAAGCAGTTCCTTTTGCTGGCACATAAAGCAAACCCACTGGCCACTACTATGTCACATACCTTTCTTCTCATGTTAAACAACCCATTTGTCTTTTTTTCTCACGAAGTTTAGCATCCTTTTTCTCCTTAACGAACAAGGAATTGTTCTACTTATAATGAAATTTTCACATGGTCCATAGTTGGGTTATTTCATACACAAGATAGAAGCAGAAGCAGAGACTAAGAAGTGAAAAGAGAAAAGACAAAGATGGGAGCTGATTGGGGACCAGTAATTGTTGCAGTGGGCTTGTTCATCCTCTTATCTCCAGGGTTGCTGTTCCAATTCCCAGCAAGGATTAGAGTTGTGGAGTTTGGTAACATGAACACAAGTGGGATTTCCATTTTGGTTCATGCCATCATATACTTTTGTATACTTACCATCTTGGTTGTTGCAATAGGCATTCACGTACACATTAACTGACATGAAAAATCTCCTATAAGTATGTTTACATTTACCATTTTTTGGTGTATTAGTTTCCCTTTATTTTTCACCCTTTTAAAGTTTCTCATCTCAGCTGTCTTTGATGCTGGTAAATTGTTCAAAATGAAAAAGGAGATATAATTATAGGAATTATATCTTTTGTTACTACATAATTTCAGTAGTTTTCATCATGTCATGCTTGTTCTGTATAGATTTTTGTCTCATTAACATTTAACTTATACAACTTGCGCTCTTAATCGAACTTTTTTCTTTTTCTCTCATTCATAATTTGAATTGGGTGAAGGGTGAATTGGCAAACAACATCAACCTCTTAGAGAATATAGTACAATAAAGAGTAGAGTAGTGGATAAATAAACTGATATAGATATAATGCATCTGAGGATGTGAATCTGCAGTTTATCTTTTTGTGCAACTCAGGAGAGCAAGTGGAGTTAACTTAGTAAAACAAAGCAAGGATGCTCAAGAATGTAAAGCAAGTTTGACACCTCTACGTTCTAACTTTCCTTAAAGGTGTTTTTTTTTTGTTGATTAAATAATATATGTACTGGACTAAAAGCAAACAAAAGGGATGACATAAAATTTTTAAATTTTTATTATTCACTAAATTAACTTTTAAAATTTTGTTCAAAGCACCAAAAAACTAATAATCATTGTTATTTTTATTATATTGGCTTTATTGTGTGAAAAACAGTGCATAACATTAAGGTATTATAATAAATTTGGTTTCAAAAATAACTATAGTAAATTTTGTTTTATTCTGTCCATGAATATCACAAAAAAATTTACCTTTGCATTGATCATCAATCAGCTAATAACATCTTGTATTATTATGTTATTATTGTGGTGATCTTTAACCGGAATCAAATGCAACCTTGTCAATGAGGTTAATATAGTTCCTGGCGAATTTTGTAAACATAGTCGATTCGTTTGTAATTGCGAAAAAAAAAAAAAAAATTTAAAAGAAAAAGAAAAATTATTTTGGATCAGCTTTTGAAAAAATAACTTTTTATGTATTGTATTTTTTAGAACAACTTTTTTTAAAGTTAAAATTATTTTGCATTTGGACGAAGATCTGAAAAATACTTTTAATTAAAAAAATTATTTAGGTGTTAAAATTAAAAAGCATGATTTTTATATAAAATTACTAAAAAAGACATAAAAGCAAATCATGAAAATAAAATTTGGGATTGAGATAATAATAATAATAATAATAATAATAATAATAATAATAATAATAGGAATAGTATTTAATGGTGTGGAAGGGTTGGTTAAGGTTGGGGCAAATTTAAATTTTGAGAAAATATTTTGACTGTGACTTCTCCTTTTTTAGAAGCCATAAGTTTTAGCTTAAGAAAGTAGTATTTTTGCTTTCTTTTTAATTCCATCGTCTTTTAAAAACCAACATCTAAACCAGTTTCGTTGAAGGAAAAAAGCCCAAAAAGCGTCCTTTAATTATGTGGGTTGAGCTTGAGCGGTTGAGCCCATATAAATTCTACATGTTTAGGCTATTATTACTCATGAAAAAGTGAGGGTATTGAAGACCAGTCCTATTTGATAAACTAGTTTGATTTGAAGTTATTCAGGTTAGATTTGTATTTTGAAAATTACTGCTGGTGTATTTGTAGAACGGGTTTGAATCACACTTTCTCGTTGATTTGGTATCACGTAATATTTATAAATTGCAATTTTTTTAAAGTTTAATGATAAACTATAATATTCCTTGACTTAAATTAATATATTTTGTATAATATAATTAAAATTGTGTTAATATAATTTTTTTTTTGGTAATCGTGTTAATAAAATTTATTTCAAAATACATACGATAAAACAAACATTCTTTAATATTAAATTCTTATTTTAAAATCACATATCTTTATTTTATACAATATTTACATTTATATATTTCGTCTAAAAAATTGATTTCTCTAAAATAAAAGATGCACTTTACAATCGTTGATTTTTTTAATCGACAGATTAAATTTTAACAATTTGTTATACATGCTTTTAGCACAATCTCAATTATTAAAAATTTCATTAATAAGAGCATATGGTTTTGATCAATAATAAGCTAAATCATGATTATGATGATGACCCCAAAAGCTGACTCAAGTAACAATATGAGTCTCGCATAGCCTCACCATAGGAAAGAATTTTTGGAATCATAGTTGAATAATTATCCCGTCATTCAACTCGAAATTGCTGCTTTAGTGGGTGTTTGGTTCAGGGTAAATTTTATGAATAATAGAGAAATGTGATATATAGAAAAATGGTTGGAAAGTGAGATAGGTAGAAAAAAGTAAAAAAAATTTGTTTGGTTGGGAAAAATTTTACCGAAAAAATTAGGTAACTTTCTAAAATCTATGTTTGGTTGTAGGTAGGAGTGTAAATAGGCCAGGGCAGGGCAGGCTTTGGCCTTCATGGCCTAAGCCTACACACGAAAATGTTTGGCCTATCTGGCCTATGAGCCTATCCAATGCTTAGTTTAAAGGCCAAGCCTGCCCTGTTATTTAAAAATAAAAAGCCTACATGGCCTATGAGGCCTTTTAGGCCTACCATATTGTAAATTAAATAAATAAATAAAAATATCTCATTCATTAAACAATATTTCCAGCATAGGTCCAAATTATAAAAATTTTACAACAGATTTTTTAACAAGAACACATGTTATAAAAATTCTACAACAGATTTTTTAACAACAACAAAGATTGAATTTTTCTTGGCACTTCACAATCTTCTAGTGAGCCTTCTTAACATCATCTTCCTGCAAAAAAAAAGTGAATGAGGTAATATGCTAAATTAGCAATCAAAAGAAAACAAACAAGCCACACATATTAGTAAATGCTCTTCTGTGGCTTATACTAGTTATCTTTGGTCCCTTTTATTATGTTATAGTAATTGACATTTCTAAAAGCTACTATAAAAATGAATTCTAAATATAAAAACAATAAGAAATTTAAGGAAATGCAAAAGTAATGCAGCAGGTTGTTGATCTTCAAGTAGAAATTTAGGTTTAAGTATTGCGTGGAGCTTAGTTTTTAGTACATTCTAAGATGTTAATTATTCTAAGAAAAGAAAAAAATATAGGATTTTTATCGGCATATATGTTTCCTCTGTAGTAGGTAAGAATTCAACTGATTAAATCACAACTGAATTTTGTTTAAATTATATAACAATAGTCGATCTGTTCATTAATACTACCGATCGATCGATTCAACCGGTTAGTTCAATTCGATTTTTAAAGCATTCAGATATATCATAATATATAAAAGACAATTAGTTCTAATTATGGAAAATGATATTGTTTAGTCTTACCATACATGTTGCTTCTAATGGTCATAAAAAATATTTATGCAGATTGCAGGCCAAAATGTACTAGTCATTTTTTTATGTCCACCTCATCCTTCCAATAAAAACACCACCGCTGCCACTCTTTTTTTTTAAAGGTGACAAGCAATGAAAAATTATCAACCACTCTTCAAATTAAATAGAAAAAGTATGTCACATATCAAGTTTAACACCATTCACAAAACATAACCTTTGGAGTACTTTTCAAGGTTGGGTGAGAGAGAGCTAATAAACCCCCAAAACTTAAAAACAAAAACAAAAAGAAAATGGTATGCAAAGCATTTCATCGAGAAGAATCAGGAATAAATACCAGTAAAGTAACAGGGTGTGGAACCAAGAGACTAGTTCAAATATCAATACTTTTTTTTTAAAAAAGAGAGAAGGAACAACGCAGTGCAGGAAGAACCCCCACCTGGGAAGAAAAAACAAGAATACCCAAGAGAATGCGAATCAAAATTCAAGAATACCCAGGAACAATGTACACACTTGTTGTGATGATCAGAGCACTCACCGAGTCCCCCTTAAGGGGCAGTAACAGTGAGTTCAGCTACGCCTACAACAACAACAAAATCAACCTAGAAGAGAATCCTAAATTTCAAGGCTAAACCAGTAGCAAATCCAAAATAACAGCACCTTCGCAAAATCTAAAAAGTTAACGAAAGAAAAAAAAATACCTGGTAAACCTTGATAGATGAGTAACCGGCGATGAGAATAGATGGGTGACCGGCGATGAGAATAGATGGGTGACCGGCGGTGAGAGACTAAAACTTGATCGTTTGGGTTTTGGTGAGACTAAGGTGAGACTCCTCTTGAGTCGTGAGATCTGATGTAGAAGAAGCTGCGCAGAGCAAAAGAAAGAAATTAGGTTTTGTCATCTTTTAAATATAAATAATATTGTATTTTTTTATTATTAAAAATTTAAATAGGCCGGCCTACAGGCCAAAAGGCCAGGCTTGTTATATTTAGCCTACGGCCTTGTTTCTAAATAGGCTCGTCTACAAGCCTTCACCTGTCCTAATTACCTCGAAGGCCGGGGCAGACCAGGCTTTACGTAGGCTAGGCCGTAGGACCCTGTAGGCCGCCTGGCCCATTTACACCCCTAGTTGTAGGTAAAATATAGATGGGAAAATCAGGTAAGTTTATAAAAATAACCCTGTTTGTACAATATTTTTACGGTGGCATGCTATCAGTGCAAGTCTAATTCCAACTTTTACGGTGGCACACTCGTCTTTGGTTCATTAAGCGGTGTGAGAAATTTCTTGCTTTTTGGCAATATCACCTACAAAAAGGAGTTCCTTGGCCGGCTTTTTGAGCAGAAAATGCTATGCATCTACGTTTCCTATGCATCTACGATAGGTGGCTAAATCAGGAAGGACAACGAACCAAACACAGCGTTCTTAATTTCTCACTTGTGATATATCTATCATTCTGAACATTTACACTAAACCAAACACCCCCTGAAGGACTTCTTAGTTCTACATAACCTGGCCAGAGAAAAAATTTAGTGCATTAAAAGAATTTGACTAGGTGCTCTCTTTTATTAATTTTTTTTTTCTCTTTTCACCCATAACAATGTTATTAAACCCAGCACAGTTTATTGGATCATTGGATCACTATTTCAACTAATGAGTTATTGGTTTAAGTGCATGACCCGTTAAGTATATGTAAATCTATAATTTATATTAAAAAAACACTATAAATGTACTTAAATACCTAAAAAAAGATACCAATTTCAAATATTTTAATATGAAAAATAATAAATTACATATCATAATCCAACAAAAGATCAATCAAACATATAATATTTGTGATATTGGTGTTTCATGTTTAGTAAAGGACATCCCTAACTATAAATTAAATCAAAAATTTCCTCAATATTGCATAACCAAGATAATATTAGTGCCGTAAGCAGTGTTATTAAAACCGGACCGACCCGGCCGGGTCGACCCGGGAACCGGTAAACCGGTCATGTAACCGGTCCGGTTGAAGTAACAGACCGGCCGTGCATCATAACAGGTATGACTCGGTCCAACCCGGCCGGTTTTCATGAAAACCGATGACCCGATCGGTTAACCAGTGACCCGGTCCGGTCCCAAAAAAATTCAAATTATTTATTTTTTCAAAAAAAAAAAAACATAATGGACATATTTAAATATTTTTTTGCTTATTGACTTACATAAGTTACGTACCTACAACACTAATATTATCTCAATTATGCACTATCCAGAAAATTTTGATTTGATTTATAGTCAGAGATATCGTTTTCTGAATCTAAAGCCTCGTATCATGATCATTATATTTTTGTTTGATCCTTTATTGGATAATAATATGTGATTTATTATTTTTTATATTAAAATATTTGAAATTTGTATCATTTTTTTAGATATTTGAGTATGTTTATAATTTTTTAATATAAATTATAAAATTGCATATAATTACCGGGTTATGCGGGTTGAACCAGTGACCCAGTACCTCGACCGGGTCAATGACCAAGCCGGTTTTAATAACATTGGTCGTAAGTACATAATCTATGTAAGTTAATAAACTACAAATCACTCAAATATTTCAAAAGAAAACAAACCATTTATCTGTGAGAGTAAAAAAAGAAAGGCATCAATTGATGAGAACAAACCATTTATGTCGGGAAAATTATGTTGCACCGACACTGACACGGGACACGACACAACACGACACGCCGACACGTTAATTTTAAAAAATGCCATATATCGACACGTTAGGACACGTTAATTAATAAAATAAAATTTAGACCTTAAAAAAAATGTCGGATGTGTGTGGGAGCGTGACTGCATGTCGGAAAAAGTTAAGCGTGTCAAAACATTGACCGCATGTCAGAACGTGTCAGTGTCCGACACGCAACTTTCAAAATTTTGGGTGTGTCCGTGCTTTGTAGCCGGTGTGTGGGAGCGTGACTGCGTGTCGGAAAAAGTTAAGCGTGTCAAAACATTGACCGCGTGTCGGAACGTGTCAGTGTCCGACACGCAACTTTCAAAATTTTGGGTGTGTCCGTGCTTTGTAGCCGGGAAAAATCACCGATTGTACTGACTGAGTCACCAAATTTTACGAAAACTGACCAAACATGACCGGTCTAATATAAAAAACGAACCAATTGCATAATCGATTCACCGATTTTCGGATCGATCCGATTTTTGTAACACTGCCCATATTTTTTTAATATTTTCCTTTAAATTCTAAAAAAATTCCCTAGGTGCTCCCAGCACCAAGTTTTTCTCATGGTAATGAACATCTCTCGAAGAAGAGATTTTACGACTACTAGGCCCGTTTGATAGCAGGACTTTTTTTTTGTTTTCTGGAACTTTTTGGTTGGGTAAATAAGAATGCATCGTTTGGTATAGGATTTTTAAAATTTTTTGGGGAATCTGATTTTTTCAAAATTTTATTTTGTGTGTACATTTTTTTGAAAAAAATAATCCAGGAGGTGGTATTTTAGAATTTCTATGACAAGGAAAAATTTAATACAACTAAACATAGCTTCAAAAAAATTAACTCAATATTCTCGAAAATATGTAAGTCTACCAAACAACTTTTTAATAACATTTCAAAAAAAATCATTTCTCATCATTTTCCTGAAAATCATAATTTCTGGATAAAAAAAATTTCTACTCTATCAAATGCCCTAACTCATCCAACACAAGATTTATAGAAATTCTTATATTATCATGTAGAATGTGTGTCTGTGTGCGAGAATGACAATTATTGAATTTATGTGAGCCCCGTTGTAGAACAGTTGTTTCCTAACAAAATCCTGACAGTTGTTTCCTCTATTTGGAAGACATGTAAAAATTCCTTCAAAACATATGTTCCTTAAGTGGTAAAAATTTTACTGTTTTTTTTTTTTGGTAAATTTTTTTTTCTCCCCTAAAATGTGAGAGAGGGCGAAGACATACAATTAATCTGAGGCCAATCTGCGTTACTCAAAAACCAGTTGAACCATAAAATCGATGCAGAATTATAATCAATGTGAATCCGATTTTATATAAGTTCACCAATTGCTAATTGACTGAACCAAATTAATAACATGAAACATAATTCAAAATAAAATAACCACATACATAGAAACATTATATCCCAAGCCCCAAATATTTCTTTAGATGACCAATTTATCGCACATATACATGAGATTCCCCAAACGCAAGTGAGACTCACATACTATAAAATCCAGCTATATTATTACTAAAAAAAAATAAAATCCAGCTATTAGATCCAAAAAGTACTATCATGAAAGTGAGTTCATTATACTTGAATTATTCAATAGTTAAACAACAGCACCCAAAAATTGTAAGATCTATGTATTTTTCATTACCAAAAAGAAAAATCATTGACTCCTAACAACAACAAGAACAAAAGGACAGCCAGTTACAACAATGGTGGGTTTCATCTCATAGTAAAAATACCTTGGACCGACAAAAGGAAAAGAAAAAAAAACCCAGATCTGGGCAACCGGTTCAGCCGGTGTAGATGTGAACGTGAACGGCCAAGATGAGTATGGCATAGAGAGCGAAGAAGATGAGTGTGTGAATGAATATAGCTTTTCCGTTGGTCTTCATGCCACCGAACTCTAACTGCTTACCGTTTCCCGGAAAGGAAAACAGCAACCCTGGTTGGAGCAGCACGAACAACACAACGCCGATTATCACTGGTGCCCAATCTGCCATTTCACTCTCTTTTCTCTTTTTAGCCCAACCCCAGGAAAAAAAAATGATAGATCTTTCTGACCCAGAAATAAAAATGGTGACTTTCGGTTATGAAAGTGGTAAAGGTAGTAGCTTTGGTATTTTGGGGGATGGAAATGAAGAAAACGAAAGGAGTTGGAAAGTGACGTCTAGGAATTTGGAACAATTTGGAAGCACAAGAAAAGGGTGGTAACAGTTTGTGTTAGTCTTTGTCTCGGTGTTGGCTGGGAAATTTTTTAATATGTTACGGATCACTCTTTCGTTCAAAAATTGATATTTGTATTAATTTTTTTTTTCTTTTCAATTTTTTCTTTTTTTCTTGAGATATTGACTAAACTGACATTTCTTTAATAAAAATTTACGAAATTGTCATGACAAGAATTTTTTTTTTTTAAATGTCACGTCACAATCTTGCTGATCTAACAAGCGATAATGAACTGGACATGTGACAGCGTCTAAATGGTCAACTATTCTAACTAAACAGCCCGGCGCGAATAACAGATTGTGACACGTGGCAAAAGTACAAGCATTCTGTGTAAAAGTACAGGATACCTGTACTTTTGCTATGTTCAGCATTCTGTCATTCGCGTTGGGCTGTCCAGCTAGAATGATTGATCATTCATACCCTGTCACGTGTTCAGTTTATTCTCGCTTGTCAGATCAGCAAGATTATGACATGATATTTTGACAAATTTTTTTCTAACGTGACAATCTGATAAGTTTTTGCCTAAATAATGACGATATGGTTATTGTCTCTTTTTTTTTACCTCATTTCCACCTAAATTTTTTTTCTCTCGTACCACAATAACTTCGCTCGTTGGGTGGCTCTACTTCTCTGCACGCGAAACTAGGAAATGAATTAATTAGCTTTTCATTGACATGGGTCCGGACTCGGTGACCGCCAATGTCATGTTACTCTCTCTTTGATTTATCTGTCACCCCATCCTTTTGTCCATTCTCCTCAGTGCTACAATAGTTAAAGAAAATTACTTTTATGTTACATGTGATAATTTTTTTTCCTATATATTTTTTGATAACTATATTATTTTTTTTTCTGATGGTGAAACTCACAAATTTATCTATATAATATGAGATAACTTATTTCATTTAACATGAGATTAATAAAATCCATAATTAAATCAATTTACTTCCTTTAAGAAACAAGTTTTTGTAAGTAAAAATCGTTTTTGTGCACTTCCTTTATTAGCACTCAATCACACCATTATCCAGAGTCTTATCATATCTCACAAATACAAGCTTTTATATGTTGTAACTTTCTATATCTATCACGAGTAAATATTTTTATATCTATCCCGGATATCCTCATGTATAGTTATTGTACTTGTTTTATTTTTTTAATTTGAGATGGTGTCTATTAGTATTATTATCAATATTATTATCACTTTATTTTAACGTTAGATTAATTATGTTAATTCAATAGTTATGATTTAATTTTTTTTTTTAAAAGTCGCTATTTATTTAATACTTTATATTTATTTTTACGTTTATATGATTATGATTTTTTATATTTAATGTAAAAATATTAAATATAGAAAATCATAACCATACAAAAATAAAAATAAATATAACTATTGAAGCAATATAATCGATTTATCGATAAAATAAAATGATAGTTATATTAATAATAACACTAATTAATAATATCAATATCGTATTTCTTCTTTTTAAAAAAAAAACTATTACCGGAGTATTAAAAATATGTTCTAGGAAACTAGAGTGAAAGACCTCTCTGAGTCCCTTCAAATGTCACATTATCATTATTGTTGCCCCCACCACAAACCTAGTTAGGTAAATAGTTTATGATTTTCCATCAACACATTTCTAACAATTTCAAAATTATAATATTTTATGTTAGAGGAATTAACTAAAGATATTTTAAAAAATTTATTTGTTTTGTATTATATGAATTTTACCTAGATACGCTTCCAAAATGATGTAGTTTGTTTCGAGGTTGATTGAGATAATTTTATATCATATTAATAAAAAACAATAAATCTTTAGATAATATAGTAAAATCTAACATCTCATCTTGGCTCCGTATTGAATGTTCGCTACGAAGAATTCATGAACTTCACTTTGAATGAAGAGTGCTAAAACTTTCCGAGCCTGTAACCATACTTTCCGAGCAGGCTGAAAGTGGATTGGGCTGGGATAAGCTTTGTTCCAAAAAGTTCAAGTCTATGTAAAAAAATTTCAATTTGACCTAGCCCAAGTCTAATACGAGTCTAATCGTTAGTCTGTTAATTTTTAACTTCCAAGCAAAACCATGAATCAACTTTACAAAATACTCAAATTTTGTTGTTAAACCAAAATTCATAATTTCAACGTCCAAACAGAATCATGAATCACAACAAAACTCATACAATCTGCATTTAAATCACTTTCAAAAGCAAAATGCTCAAACTAAGTAACATATATTTCATCATATCCAACAAACAAATCTATACTATGTAAATTAAAATAACTACATGAATCCACAAATGTTGATTCTATTTTATGTAAGAAATAAAGTCAGATTCTATTAAAATATAATCAAATATAATTAAGTTATAAATAATTGAAATTGATTAAATTTATATATTTTGTTTTTTCTTCAACGCATACTTATTCTATTTTATTTTATTTAAAATAAATAGTACAATATAGGCCGGCCTGTAGGCTTATAGGCTAGGCCTTGTGAAAGTGGGCCTACAACCTTTTTATTAACAAGTTATTTCAAAGTTCAAACCCGACCTATTTTACAAAATATACTAGGTCAGGTCAGACTTGACGTAAGTCGAGCCATAGCCCCTGTAGACCGGCCCGATCCAATTTCACCCTTATTTCCGAGCCTTCGTATAAGTTTGGAATGCTAGAAAACATTTGAAATTCAACAAGCAGTGCATGTAAAACCATGTTATTTGATCAACAAAGATCTCCATCACAAAAGTCCATTACATTATAAAAATGTTTCTAATTTCCGAGGATATAATATTCTGTCATTTTAATTAAAAAATAATGTCTTATTTAATATTTAAATTGAAAAATTCTTTTTTTTTATACATAAATTGAAAAATTCTACCAATAAGCTCATACTATCTTCCACCATGAACTTTTGGACATGTATAATACACAGTATAAGATAAGGTTTGATAGTATAAGACCTGATTAAATTTTGATACTATCTAGCGTTTAGCATAATATTGTATAAGATAATATTACTCAATGTTTGGTAATACACTATATAACACTAAATAGGATAAAAATAAATATTTTTAACAAAAATACTTTTTAATAAAGAATTTATATAATTCTTCCAAATATGTCATATTATATTAATTTTTATAAAAATCTATTGATGAGGCCAAAAATATATATATTAATTTTTATAAAAATAAAAATCTCTAATATTTTAAAATTTTATATATTGAAAAATTATTTTTATTTTAATATATTAATATTAAAATAATATATTTTTTATTTTTATTAAAATATATTGATGAAGAATTGCACTGTTTAATACATTATTTCTTTATCAAGCCTAATCTCAACTCTTTAGGCCTGATTAAGTTATACATTACTTTGATGTATAAAGGGATCATTCTGTATAAGCTTATATTATACGATGGTCATACCAAACAACTAAAAATATCATAACGTATAGTATAAACTTATACTATCAGGCTTTATACATCTCACCAAACAGACCATTAATTGTGCAATTGTCTCTCTCACTGTACTACACAATAATTTTAATTAAAATGATAAAATATTATGTCATTTAAAAAAACAAATATTTCCCCCTTATATTATACACATTGAATAGTTAAACTTTTCCTTGTTCACATCTAACCCTACTTCCTCCTACGGTTTTAACCACATATCAACATATTTTTTTCATATAGGGACTTATTTGAAAATATTTTTCTTATATAGATTAAATTAAAAATCAATAATACATAACCATAAGTCATTGTCATTTTTCATTATATACATGTTTATTATACCTATAAAACGGTAGGGACTGGATTGAAAACAATTTTACCTAAAATAATCGATTTGAAAACTTTTTTCGTGTAAAGATCGAATTGAAAATTAATACTACATGGGGACTAAAATTTTAATTAAATCATCAATTATTAGGGGTGACAATTTTCAAATTTTTTGTGTTAATGAATACAAAACGAAAAATCCATGCTCGGATCAATTTGTTTTCAAATTTGTGTTATGCTTGTGTTGGTAAAAACTAGCACTAAAAAATGTGTCGTGTCACGTGTTAACCCACAAATCTAAAATTGACTTGGTTTAATCTTCTTACATGTTATTTGCGTCGTGATTGTGTCGTAAACAGGTTATTCGTATTTTATCGTGTCATGTCAACCCGCATAATATGCAACATATTCTGAAGTTGATAGATTATTCATATCATGTCAACCTACATAATACGCGACATACTTTGAGGTTATTGTTGGTTATTCGATTACTTGTGTTGTATCTACCCGTAAAATAAGCTAATTATGTTAGTGTTGAAGGTTGTGACCCGATTTCAAATTCACGTCGTGTTCGTTTTAAGTGTATTTATATTCATATTGTGTCAATCAGAATTGTCACCCCTACCAATTACACCAGGGAACCTAAAGGGGATAACGAATAAATAAAGAAAAAAGAAAGGGAAACGACGTGGTTTAAAAAAAGTTCATTTCTTTGAAAAAAAAGTCGTTCAGCAAGCATGCCTGCGTGTTTCCTACAAGTGCTTGGCTGAGTTTTTTTTTCTAGCTTTTATATAGCTTCTTTTCCTTTCATACGTCTTAGCTTTTTGTTTTGTCTAGCTTTTCCTTTGAATTATAGCATAAAGGGGGGCCAATAAAGAAATCAGGTTTGTGATCAGCCACTAAATGGACAAAGATGCGTTGTATCATAATCGACCACATCTTACAGCTATTGTTTATAACAATTGAATACAAATGCCATTCTTATTCTATGGTAGCCATTTGCTAGAATTAGCCTTGTGGAATTAATTGACTCCATATACTAAAGAAAACGATGCTTTTCTTATCCAGAAAGACCCACATACAGGTCCGGATAAAAAGGAGGACAAAGATTAAAGTGCATGATTGATTATTTTTATGTTCACTTTATAGGATTCCAATTCCCTTTCTTTGAGGGATAGAACACAAACATTAATTAGTGCTTTTATTAAATTGTAACACCTCTTCAACTTGCTCTTCCTCTTTTATTCAAGCTTTGAGACTCATTCTCTTACATCCACACAATGAATGATTGGGCTCCTCCATTCATAGCTGCTGCACTGTTTTGGCTTTTGTCGCCAGGAATGATCTTTCAGTTGCCGGGGAAGAATTCACCCTTTGAGTTTATGAACATGAAGACTACTGTTGCATCCATTTTTGTACACACTGTTATCTATGGTCTGTTTCTCATGTTGTTCTTCATTGTTCTTAGTATCCATCTTTATATCTAGGAGAAGCAGCAAATGCTATATGTAAAGAAAACTAACATGCTGCGTTATCTTTTAAAGTAGATTAAGTGACAATCTGCTACTATAAACGCTGATCAATATATGTGCCCTTTTGAATTTTATCTTACCTAGTCTTCTTTACTTGGCTCCTAAAGCTTTCATGAGTATTCTGCTTTGTTGTTTATTCTTAGAAAGTGTTACATATCTATGCAGAAAAAGGACTTAATTCATCTGGTATTGAAGAAGGGTTATTTACTTACATAAGTTTCTTTTACATAATTCACATAATTTCAAGGGAAGTATCCTTTTATGTTCATTTTAAAATTTCATGTATTTCTCTTCATTAATATTTGACAAATTTTTATTGGACCTCACTTATTTAGAATAGACAAAAAGTCTTGACATGACCAAACTATGTGAAATTTTTATATGAAAAGATCCACTCCATAATTTCAATCAATAAGACAATAACATTCCTTTAAATCCTTCTCTTTTTCTCTCTCTTAATTTATTTTTTCCCATCAAAATTAATGATTCACAATTCCTTATGTCAGATCATATAAACAAAAATTATGCGAAACTAACGTTTGTGAAGAAAATAGTAAAGAGCTTGAAAGAGGGTAAAGGAAAAACAGTGACATATTTTGCTTGTTCCCATGTCCCTGGTTCTTTTTAATTTGTATTACTTTAAGTTTTTGTATTACTTTTGTTTTACTTTGAATTGAGCTATTACAAAAGAAATGATGCTTAGAATTATTGGGATATTCAAGTGTGATGAGTCCCACATTGGTTGGTAATGAGCTAAGTGAAGAGTATATAAGTGAAAGGACCCATGAATCCAATGCCTTAAGGTTTTGGGTTGAGATGTGGTGTCGAACCCACTTGGTGTACTTGGAGTAACTTGGCTCATTGGTAGTGGCCCCTCGCCACGGACTTCTCCTGGACCCGCCTGACCGTGGTATCAGAGTCGGGTTGTGCTCGAACTAGCCTAATGATTGGTTAAGAGGCGGGTTGAGTACTTGGGCCAGGAGTACTCAGTTGGGGGGAGCAAATCAATGGTGGATTTCACACTTGAGGGGGAGATTGTTGGAATATTCAAGTGTGATGAGTCTCACATTTGTTGGTATTGAGCTAAGTAAAGAGTATATAAGTGAAAGGACCCATGAACTCAATGCCTTAAGGTTTTGGGTTGAGATGTGGTGTCGAACCCACTTGATGTATTTGATTCACTTAGCTCATTGGTGATGACCCCCGCCACGGGCTTCCCCCTGGACCCACCTGACAAGAATGGACTTTCTGGACTGCTAGCTTATACTTGTTTTCTTGTACAAATACCACCAAAACCATAATCTTCATGGAAACAAGTATTAGATGAGAGAATTGATATTCAAGTGTGATGAGTCTCACATTTGTTGGTATTGAGCTAAGTAAAGAGTATATAAGTGAAAGGACCCATGAACTCAATGCCTTAAGGTTTTGGGTTGAGATGTGGTGTCGAACCCACTTGATGTATTTGATTCACTTAGCTCATTGGTGATGACCCCCGCCACGGGCTTCCCCCTGGACCCACCTGACAAGAATGGACTTTCTGGACTGCTAGCTTATACTTGTTTTCTTGTACAAATACCACCAAAACCAGAATCTTCATGGAAACAAGTATTAGATGAGAGAATTGATTTGATCCTTGCCAACTGAATTATTTGTCCCCTATAAATACTGATTCGGAGTTTCTCTTGATTTACTTTCTGTGGCATATGCTACTATCCAGATCTGAATGTGCTAGTTATAGTAGATAACAAAATGTTTTGGATGTCTATATGTCTAACACTTGGCTATAAGAAAAGGGGAAGCAATTTAGTATGACACAGCCATTGTGATAGACATTCTAGGGGAATCAAGTTTCAAGTTGTAATACAAAACGAATGGATGATTAAAGTGGTTATATAAAACCATAAATTTGATAAATATATATTATATATGTGTGAAAGTACTTTGATGAGAAAAATTATTAAGAAACTAACATACTAATAGTTGATCTTTGAAAAACCAACCAAAGAATTTACTTATAAAACAAAAATGGGCAGAATTATAATAAGTTTTATATCAATTTATTTGGCATTTCTTTTTTCTAAGCTAAAAAAAACTTAAAAAATAAAGTAAAAACTGTTTGGTGACTATACAAAATTGTTATGATGATTTTGAAGGAGAAAATATAAAATAATAATAAATTAGGATAAATGATAAAATTTATGAATACAAGTTTAGAATAAGGGTAAAACTGCAAAATAAATGAGTAGTCAAAAAAGATGACATACATCTTTTAAAAAAAAAACCCTCCTTTTGTGTGCTTTTAGCTTGTAGCTTTTTTCTTTATTATTAAAAAAAACTCTTTATAATAAGAGCTCTCATAAAAATCTATTTGACCTAGCTTCTACTTATAAGGAAAAAAAAAGTTAAAAAAAAAACTCTCAAACAGACACTTAGTCATTAATTCACTTGCATATAATGGTTTACACATGTGATAAATAAGAATTGTTACATATAAATAAAATTACGCTAAAATTAAGAATGTAACTTATACTAGTATTACTCGAAAAATTCTGATTTGATAGCCGACAATTAGATATTATTATTAGGAAGAAAATCCTTAGTGCTTTTCTTTGAATCACTTACCCCTGATGCTTTTTTTTAATCATTTATTTTTCTATGATTTTTTCCATCCAAACTTATTCTTAACATCACTATAAACTTAACTAACCTGCCTATTTTACCCTTCTTAGAAGAAGAAAATAGGTTGGTGATAAAAAAAAATAGCAGAAAAAATAAGGCTAAATATGTTAGAAACTTACAACACTTACAAAAAAGACTAAAAGTAAAACAAGTAAAAATAGAAGAAAAAAAAAACAAATTTGTGTATATGAAAAAGAAGAAAATACTGAGAAAAAATTAAGACTAAATATATTGAAAACTTACAACAATGACAAAAAAGACTAAAAGTGAAAAAAATTAAAATAGTCTTAATCAAAAAGAAGAAAATAGATAGAAGACAAAAAAAAAACAGAAAAAAAAAATAAGACCAAAAAAATAGAAGAAGAATAAATTGTAAGTTTAAAATATTTTGATCTTATTTTTTTCCTCAATCTATTTTCTTCTTTTTAATTTAAATATATTTGGTATTTTTCTTCTATTTTCAAGTTTTTCACTTTTAATCTTTTCTATCACTATTAAAAGTAATAAAAATAATAAGACAAAAAGGAAATAGGAGAAAAAATCAGGTTTGTAAGTTTCTAACATATTTGGTCTTACTTTCTCTTCTATTTTTTTTGGATTCGTTTTTTTCTTTTCATTTGGACTATTTTCATGTTTATTACTTTTATTATTTTCTATTACTAATGTAGGTTTCCAACATATGTCGTCTTATCTTTTTCTTTTATTTTTTCCCCAATCTATTTTCTTCTTTTTAATTCAGATATATTTAACTTTTTTTTTCTTATTTATTATATTTTTACTTTTAGTATTTTGTATTTCCTTCTTTTTAATTTAGACATATTTAACCTTTTTTCTTATTTATTATTTTTTTACTTTTAGTATTTTCTATTTTCTTCTTTTTAATTTAGACATATTTAGGCTTTTGTTTCTTATATATTATATTTTGACTTTTACTATTTTTTTGTAAATTTTATAAGATTTCGACATATTTGATTTATTTATTTTTTGTGCTCAGTCTATTTTTTTATAAGAAAAGTAAAATAGGAAAAATCAGTTAAGTTTCTAACAGTTTTAAGGATGAGTTTAAATGGAAAAATTCATTTGAGGTAATTGATAAAAAAAAATAAGGAAATTAGTGATTCAAAGTTAAAGCATAAAAGGTTTATTATTATTCAAATTGAATATTAGTACCGCACTTATTAGAGTTACCTTAAACAATTAACCGAAAACCTAAATGTTTGAAAATTCCAATTATTTTTAAAATAATTACTAATGTATAGATTTATATTATTTAATAATAGTTTAAAATTTAAATATTTTCGCATATACATGCATAAAGGTAAAAACTCTACATATATGGTTAAAAAATAACATGAAAATACAATTAAATTAATTGAATAAAATTTATTATTTAGAATATTAATTAATGAATCCCATTTTTCAAAATAATATTTTATCATACATATATATATATATAATATTTAATTTTTTTCATATTTACATTGTCCGGGATGTAGAACAAATTACTATCCGAGATGAAAAATTTACAATCTAACATAATGAAATTAGTTAAAATTTAATTTTTTTTTTCAAAAAATGATGAATACTTAATAATTAGTTTTTATTCCTGCATATGTATAATATTTAAAAAATTTAACATTGCGTAACTTTATATGACAATAGACATATTATTTAATTAATTTAATTATTAGAAGATTTAAGAAATAAACTTATTTTTTTAATGATTTTTCGCTACACTACACATACATATACAGGGGATGCTTACTAATTGAGTTGTTGTTTTATAATATTTAGATATTTCCATTTTCACATGGCGTGAGGTTGAAATTTTTTTTATTTTTTTTATGGTACACATAAAGGGTAAGGCCCAAGGAAAGAAACATAAAAACAAAAAGTAAATAAACAAAGGATTTTATTTTTCTTATATCACATACGATAAATCCTTTCTCCTACTCTCACAACAAATGGTGGGACCCATTTTATTTTAAAGAAAAGAAAAGAAAAGAAAACATAGCACAGAAATCAAAGTGAGAGTATGAGATAAATTTCTCTTAAGTGATTAAGAGAAATAAAACCCATAAACAAATTGTAGGGCCAAGGCTCTTATCACCAGAATATAAGAGAAAAGCCAAAATCAGATTATGGAGTTCTTCGTAAGAGGAGTTGAAATAATAAGTGCCCCAAAGTTTCCCAAAGTCTGGGTAAGGCTTCTTTAGCAAGTCAATCCGCACATTTATTCTTGTCACTTTTCACATGAGCAAAAATGATCCTCGAATCTTTTTTCTTCCAAGCCTGAATCCTAACTACCAAGGGTAGTTCTCAAATGTCATTTACCATTTACCAGGAACGATAAGCAAGTTGATAGCTTGAAAAGAGTCTCTTTCTATTTCTATTTTTTTGTGATTATGCTGCCAAATGAATTCCAAACCTCTAGAAATGGCCCATAGTTTAGCTTGTAAAAGGAAACAAATACCAAAGTGAAGGGAAGCTACATATTCCCCATTTGAGTTTCTAATGATATCTCTACAAACAGCTTTTCCTTTTAAAGCACCTCCATCAACGTTTGATTTCATCCAGTTACTCTAAAGGCAAGGCTAAGAATTATGGTTCTTAAAGATAGCAACATGGTTAGATTTTTCTTTTTGTTGAAGCAGACAGAAATAATGATTTTCATGTAACCATAGATGAAAACTAATTCTTAATCCTATCTCTTAAAATTAGACTTAAGAATATCCTTATTCCTCTAAAACCAAAAGAACCAGCAAGTAAAAAAGAAATAGTCTTTTCATCCAGTTAGCCTACCTTCAGAATGCACCAAGTTCCTTTTTAACTAGTTGTTCAGATCTTGTTCTTGAAAGAAATGAGAGGGGTAAGGCTAGAAAAAAGCTTTATTCCAAATGTTTAGAGCTCTTGGGCAATCCCTTGGTACATGAAGAATTGATTCCACCTTATCATTGCAAGAATACAACCTATTAATCCCATTTCACCACATGGTAGTTATGCTTCTAGTTTAAAGTCTACCACGGGAAAGTTTCTAGATCAAAAACTTCATTTTTTAAGGACTTGACTAGCTCCAGATTCTGTCTCAGGGAAAAGTGGTTGAAAGGAGGTTGACCTTCATTAATCTAGTGTAAGCATAACTCACCATAGATGAGGAAGGTTTCAAATCAAGCTAGGATAAGCTATCACTGCTAGCTTCAAATTGAGGGGAGGGATGGCCTTGATTCTTTTAAAGGTATCTTCTTCCAAGAACTCTTGAAGTAGGCCTAAATTTCAGCAGCCAGATAGAGGGTCAACACACGTTGTCACAATATCTTCAAAGAGGATGGGGTGAAGTAAAATTTAACTTCAGGCAAAAGATTGTTCATAGTCCCTATCCACTTATCAAACCAGAAGTTAATTTTAGTACCATCAATAATCTCCCAAGACAGGCCATCAAGCATGATAAACCAAATCTTGCAGAGATTCTTCCATAAAAAGGAGTCATAAGCTTTGCTTTCGGGTTGGCTAGTAAAATCCAACCTCCTTCTATATTTTTCTATAAGAACTTGAGCCCATTTGAGATGGAGAGTTGATAATGGACCAAACCATTCTATGAAAAAAAGCCTTATTATGTTTTGGTAGGTTATGGATCCCTAGCCCACCATAGTATAGATAGAAGATATATTTTAATGATAACAAAGTGGTAATAACTAAAAGAGAAGAGCCTTGAAGACAACAAGGCAAGAAGAATAAACCAATAGCATCGAGATGACAATTCAAGAGCAATAAACATCAAATTTGTGAAATAATTAAGAAGAGATTTCAAGATCAAAACCATAAGAAACAAGAAAATATTGAAGAACAACAAAACCATGGACAACTTATAAGAGGAATATCATAACACAAGCCATGGTGAAATAAAAATCAAGTTCAAGCTTTTATGGTATCTTTTTGTAAGGGTTTGATGATGTTTTCTTTCATGAGCTCAACATTGCATAATCTTTCAAAATTGCCTGACTCCTATACATATCATCTTGACATGCTTTTCTAACATAGAAAAATAACCAACAAATGTTAAATGTGATGATCGCTTTTACAAGAGTCAAATAAGAACAAGTAATCATATATCAGATACTAATCCATGCATGTCATGCTAAAATGTTTACTCTGACTTCTTGCCTCGAAGAGCATCTATCTCAAGAATACCTATACCTGAAAAATGTGCCCCATATGGAGTGAAATTTTGACAAATCTCAGTAAGACAATGGGTCCTCAAGGATTCCTCCGCCCCAAGCTGACTTACCGGCATAATATAAGTTCAACAGGATAACAAAATAATATGAGCAATAAATATCAATAACTGTGCAATATAGGATATGATCATGTCATGTGTGTATGCAACTATTCTACAGATCAGAGAACAAAGTAGGCTTTACGCATGCCTACAACCTACGTAGAGTATAAGTGGCTCTCCTTATACCCCCACACGCGGATTTACCACCTTTATGGCTTCTGCCATACATCGAGAATTACTGCCCGGTGTGGTAGCCCCATGCATATACATATAGCAATTGCACCAAATAATTCTCATCTCAATCAAATATCAAATGCTCATAATATAACATATATCATTTTCAAAACACATATCAAGCACATAAACCAACCTCCCATGGAATTTGGTGGAGCATACAACAGATCAATTCGAGGACTAGAAGCTTAACTGTCAAGCTAAGTCCTCCCTTAACGACTAAGTGTACAAAAGGTCACCAATAAACACAGTATCCAGCAAGGTTACAGATATGTTTTCATAATAAGTATACCATCAATAAGCATATCCTAGCTTTTCGGATTAAAAGGAACATTATTTCTTTTTTGTTTTGCTTATTGCAAGCTCTTTTCAAAGCCCAATGCACTAAATCGTGTTTATCATTTTTAAAACTGGTGTTGCATCTCTTTACCAAAACTAAACATCTTAAGCTTTCTAACGACATACTATACGTCTCTATTGGAGTTTTATAACTCCGGTTATGTTTTTCGCAAAGTGACTGCTGCAAACTGAATTTCCAACAGCAAGGAAGAAGATTCAAACTCAAACCGCGATCAATCCACTTATCCCATGGATCTAACAATTTATAGATTGTAGCCTTACGTGTTTGCTTCACATAGGTCCAAATCGCACTCAATTCGAAGCTCTTTAGCTCGAGATATCGCGATTTTTTCAAATTAGCGTGTTGCTGTTA